GATTATAACTTCCTATTTTAACTACAATATTACAACATTCCGAATACTTGACCATTGTCCATGTTAGCTGAGCTAATGGAAGTCGCAGTTCAAATGGGTAGAAGATACCTGATACAATACAGGAAGACATTTTCCATACCACCTTGCAGAATAATTTTGTTCTTTAGTCGTTAAGTTGTGTCCGACTCTTCATGACCCCACGGACCAGAGCACGCCAGGCCCTCCTGTCTTTTACTGCCTCCCGGAGTTGTGTCAAATTCATGTTGGTAGCTTTGATGACACTCTCCAGCCATCTCGTCCCCTGACACCCTCTTCTCCTCTTGCCCTCACCATTTTCCAACATCAGGGGCTTTTCCAAGGACTCCTCTCTGCTCATGAGATGGCCAAAGTATTGGAGCCTCAGCTTCAGGATCTGTCGTTCCAGTGAGCACTCAGGGTTGATGTCCTTCAAAATGCATAGGTTTGTTCTCCTTGCAGTCCAGGGGACTCTCAAAGAGTCTCCTCCAGCACCACAGTTCAAAAGCATCAATTCTTTGGCAGTCAGCCTTTTTTATGGCCCAGATCTCATTTCCATACATTGCTACTGGAAAAACCATAGCTTTGACTATGCGGACCTTTGTCGGCAAGGAGAAGTCTCTGCTTTTTAAGATCATCTTAAAAAGTGGGTTGGGGGGGTAGTGCTCTGCTTGCGTGCCAAGGGAGATGTCTCCGCGTGCCATAGGTTTACCATCTCTGCTATAGTGTACAGTGGTGCCTCGCTTAGCGATCGCTCCGTTGAGTGACAAAATCGCTTAGCGACGGGGTTTAAGTGATTGCAAAAGTGATCGCTTAGCGATGGTCCCTATGGGGAAAATTCGCTTTGCGATGATCACAGGGAAGCGATCACCACAAAGCCCCCATTTTCGGCCAACTGATCAGCAGTTTCAAAATGGCTGCTGGAAAAACAAAATGGCCACCCGCTGTGTTGCCTCGCTTTAGAGGCACCGAAAATGGCCGCCCCTATGGAGGATTTTCATTTAAGGTTAGTTTTGAAGCCCATAGGAAGCATTAATGACGTTTTAATGCGTTTCTATGGGCTTTTAAAATCCGTTTAGCAATGAAATCGCTTAGCAATGTTTTTTCCTGCATGGATTAACATCGCTAAGCGAGGCACCACTGTATATATATTTACACTCAAACAAAGTTTATATATGTCCTTTATGGCTAACATTCTTCAATAATAAATATATGTTTTCTATGGATACCTGTTCCAAAAATAGTGTGTCCAGGGAACTATAAGCTATTGACTGAAATCCAGTAGGAAGCTGTAACTGGAGCTGTAACTGGAGCAGGCTATTCAATCAGTGGAGAATTCAGTAAATCAGTACCATTGATTCACTTTTATTATGACTTGCTACTGGATTTCAGCCACTATCTTTAGATTTTTACAAATATTCCAATAAAATAATTTACACATGAAATTTTGAGTACAACACTTAAAAATACTGTGTGGTCAATTGAATTTCCCCTGTACTTTGGGAAAACTTTTGATATATTTATGCTGCATACAAATTTGACATGCATCACATTTTTAGTTATTCCAATCACCAAATGTAAGATATTTTGTTTTCTTATTAAGGAAGAATCTTTGTTGTGGAGTAAAAATCCATCAGATAGACATACAAAAACTGACAGTGTTCTAGAAAGCATTGAATATGTTTTTAGAAAAATGTCCAGGTCTACTTTTTCTGGAAAACCCACTATCACAGTACATTAACTACGGAATGAAACATTTAGACTCCATTTAGGACACAAAGCTGACTTTCCACATTTTAGCAGTAGCACAGGAGAAGAATACTTTTCCAAGGCATGTGGTAGCAAACTTTAAACATAATATTTCCTTCCTATGGCAGACTTGGTTGACAGGAATTCCTCTTGCATTTGAAGAAAAGCATGGATCACCAAGCAATTAAAAAAAAATGCAGCAGCTTCAACATATTGGAGGACACTCCATCCATAGACAAGTCTGTATCTTGACCAAATAGAAGAATTTAAGAACAAAAAACACCCCACAAATACCCGCAGAGTTCTAGAATAGAATGAGAAAGAGAAGGTGGCATGCTCAAACAAATACTAGATTTTAGATTATTTCCAATCTTATGTGTAGAACATTTCTATGTAAACCAAAGGGTGACATTAAATATTGCAAAAACTATAGTAATCTGTACACTGCTATTTCAAAACGATTGTTCCTACAAAACTGAATACACTGCTATTTTATGAAAAATATAAACTTCTCTCTCAGAAATTCAGAAGACAGATTTCCATACATATGTAATTTTCTTCCTACCCAGCCTCTATCTCTCTAAAAGTACGTTCTGAAAATACTTTTTTCTATTTAACAACATTTTCATCATGGTACCGTGGAAGACAAAATCCTGAGCAATACAAGAGATTGTCACTATTGCTGTGAGAGATTAGGAAAATGAAACCTGACAGTCTCAGACTTCTTTGCTTTGCTCAATATCTTAGAACTTTGCTCCTATGCACAGGATGACAGTTTGAGTTAGTACAGATCAAGGAAGAGGTCTCCTTCCTCCATCCCAAAATAGACTTATTCAGCCTTTTATGCACCAGAGGCTGCTTTAAGGAGGGGCAAAAGAGAAAGCAGCTTTCATTTTATAACCTAGAGTATCTAAACTTTGTAAGGCAATAAAGGAGCTCTCTTTGCCACAGAGTGGCTATTGCAAACTTACTGAGGAAGGTGAAAAAATACCAGTCATGGGTTTAAGAAAATATCACCTGTCTCCATACCAAGGAGAAAAAAGGCAGAAGAGGAAGTTAGACTTTCCATGGGACTGGTTCACTCCATAATACATATAATCAATGTAGTCAAGGATAAAAAAAATAGAGAAGCAGATCCCCATATACACCTCCCTTCAACTCCCCAGACAAAATGTAGCACATATACGTAGCAAATAAAACTAAAAAGTTAAGTTCAACAATACTCATAAAACTGGAGAAAGCATGGAATCAGACATACACGCACAGCAATAAAATATGAAGACCTATGTATGCCAATCAATGACTTTTTCTTTTGTTAGAGAGAAGTTCTGCAGGAGCAGTCTGCAAGCAAATTACACAAAACCGCACAATGCACGGTGGAGTGAATAAATAGCAGGAAGGAGCAGAACATAAGAAACATCATTCTGCACAATGTGCATACAAACCAAATGAAAATGGTTGTAATTTGATAAACAAGAGGAGCAAAACAAAAATCAAGCACAATCCTGTGTATTTGAAACAGGATACTTTTATTTCATCAGCAAGAGCATTTCTCAGGCATTTTCTGGAGTGTGTGCACATGTGCATGCATACACACACACACATCAATAACAACTTGGCCAAATTCTTTGACAAAGGATATCCTAAACAACACTGCAGGATTGTCACCCTGTCTGTTCGGAGTCTATTTAGGAAACATTTAGTCACTGTTCTTTATTTACTATGAATTCTTTGTAGACTCAAGCATCCTTTTCAATGAAGTGACTGTTTCAATGATGAGTGGAAACCCAAGGGAGGGAGATGAGGAAGAATCCAGATAACCCACACTCTGTTACAACTCTTAGATGCACTAGTTGTTTTTGTTTCTTATGTTCTCATAGTAACAGAATGCAAATGAACTCTTATTTAAATTCCTGGTCAGCATTTGCTGTTAAGCGAAAACATCATCTTGCGAAACACGTTTTCCTATTGTAATGCATTGAAAACCTGATAATCCGTTCCAATGGGAACGGATTGTCACCGTAAAGCGAATATTGCCATAGGAAACATCGTTAAGCGAAATGCGGTTCCCAAGCGAAGACAGCCGTCTAACGAAACAGAGACCATTAAAAGACTCGTATAGCGAAGCAAGACCAAGCTGTCAAAAACATCGTAAAGTGAAAAACAGGGACCTAAAATTTAACCCTCTTGCAAAGCACGATCCCTAACATCATAAAGCGAAAATCGCCCATAGGAAACATCATTAAACGAAGCGCAAGACTGCTCCGAAAACCTATTTGTAAAGCAAATTCGTCGTTATGCGAAGCAATCATCTTGCGAGATACCACTGTATATTGTTCTTGATTCAGTAACAGTGAACAGTGGTCAGATGAAAACTAAATGAAGTATCTCCAGCCTTACAGAAACACTGGGGGGATGGGGGGGGGAGAGAAAGTATTGCAACTTCACACTCTAAACACTAGACCACTGGTTCTTAACCTTTGTTACTCAGATGTTTTTGGACTGCAATTCCCAGAAGCCTTCACCATCAGCTGTGCTGGCTGGGGTTTCTGGGAGTTGCAGTTCATAAACACCTGAGTAACAAAAGTTTAAGAACCACTGCACTAGACCATGATTTAGAGCAATGGTTCCAAGCCTTGGGTCCCCATTGGATTAAAACTCCCAGAAGGCTTCATTGCTAGCTGTGCTGGTCAGGATTTCTGGTAGTCCAAAGATGTCAGAGGACCCAAGGTTGGGAACCACTGGTTTAGGGCTACGTGCTAGTAACACACTAATATCTCATTCAATATGTTAATCACTAGGGGAGGAAAGTACCTGAACTATTATTTCAGTACAGCTGTGAAAGTCAGTATGGTTCTAAAAATACAAAAAAGTCTTAGCAATGTTAGGTTCACACAGACATTAAGACAAATGAAGTAAGCTCCTGTTTAAAGATTTAAAACAGAAAAATATTCAGGGTCTTTCTAGACTGTACAATTACCATGGCTTTGAAACAGTCCATTCACTAAAGTTTATGGGGAAGGTTGTCTTCAATGACTTTTAATCATGAGCAATAAGACCCCTCAGTCTAATTATGAGCAATAAGACCCCTTGGCACTCAAATTTCATGCCTCATCCAGCTACACCATGCTGTTCTCAGTATGGTCCTAGGAAAACAAAGTTGTTGATCACAAAAACCAGCCACCAGGGATACTTAGTAAATGTTATTTGACACACATGACACAGCTTTTACTTACCTAATGTCCCATATGGGAACTCTATGCTCCAGCCAGCTTGCCTGGTAACTCTGACATCAAGGCATGATGCATGATGGGGTATCGCAACGGAGTAACATCTTGCTAGTTGTGATTTTGGTGGGCCTAGAACAGAAAAAAGTGCATTTGTCAAGGAGACTCTTAGGAACATTTATTATAGCTGTAGGATTTTTTGATTTTACAGAAAATCTTACACATGGTCTCTAACTTCCCAAATTGTAGAACATTCCCCCTTGCCCATCAATGTTGGCTCTTCATGCTCTGTGTTTAAAATACTGTAAAGGGATTAAGGAATTAAGACATATCTCTTTCATTTAATCTTTTAAATTGTCCATAGTGGTTTCCAATATTATTCCAATGATGCTTAATACTTTAACATAGTTTTACTACTTTCATGTATTATTTTTATTGGTATGTTCTCACCTTGATGAGTTTTGTAGAGGGGCAGTGCATAAATCTAAGAAGAAGAACATACAAAACAAATGGCAAAAGTTTCTTCTTTTTTTCTTCTTGAGGCAAGCAATTTAAGAATGATGGTTAACTTAAAATTAAGACTGACCAACAATGTAACCAACTCAACAGCAGCGACAAGGACAACACACATCTAAGCTCCAGAAAGGTCCTTGGAAAAGCACTGAACTGAAAATCACAATATTCTGCCAATTAAAAATTGTAGGGGAGAAAATATATGATGCTGCAACAAGAATCTCAACAAATCTAAAACTTCCCATCCAATTTACCAGTTCTCATGCATCCCAATACAATTCCTAGCTGGTTTTGTCTTCAATTCCACAGCAAGAAAAAGATGTTTCAAGCAAGTGTGAAGTGATAGTTATTATATTCTGGCAAGTTTTCTTGCTATCTTGTTGAACGATACAGAATAATCTGTCTCAATAAACTGTAAACACATAGTTACCTGCTCCTAAGGCTAATCTCTGATGAATAAAGTTTGTAAAAATAATAGATCAGCATTTAAGTGAAAACAAAGATTATGTGCTTACCTCTAAAAAGAATGCATGGAACTATTTATTACTAAGCTCTCCAATAAAACCAGTCAAAACAATCATATTCTGTATCCTGTTCTCCCTGTACTATAGCATGACCTGTCTGAATGTTATAGATGCACACTATGGATATCTCTATTAACGAAACTGAATGATCAGGCTCGTAATGTCTCCTGCTCTGTTCAAGAGCAAACACCAATGCATGGAGTCAGCATTCCTAGAATTCTTTACAGGCTCCTTTGGAGGCCATTGCTTCTATCGATCTTGGTACTCTCTGACACATTTTAACAACATGAAAGAGCCACTAGTCACAGCTTACATGTGCTCTGTTTGCTGGGAGGACGCTGCGACAAATTAAGTCCCCTTCCTCTGATCTGAAGAAAGGCAGAGAAAAGAGAACTCTGTACAGCTGTGAAGCAGAACTCTTAGAAAGCAAGGGCTGAGACTGTGAATCCCAGCATTATTTGCAATTATGAAAAGGCAATTCATATTTAACTAAAGCAAATTCTGTAACATGCTCACACCTATTATAGGAGGATCATAGGAATTTGCTCCTTGGATTCATGCATATCTAGAAAAGAAACAGATTTGGAAAAAAGGAATACTAAACTGTCTTATGTTCCAACAAATTCAGAACCTGGAAAACTGCTTTTCTGGGCTAAAACTCCTAGAATTCCCTGACCAGCATGTGGCTGAATACTTGCAAAAATAGAACTAGTTTTCAGGTTGGGTGTTTTTCTTGCCATTCTCAGGATTAAACCTGGGACCTTCCAAATGGAAAGCAGGGCTTTACCACTGACCTACAGCCCTTCCACCTATGTGGGGTGGGGGAGAAACCTTGCATATTTAATGACAGCAACAGGTCAAAGCATGAGTTTGTGCTCTGTATTTCTACAACATCTCCTCCCCACCTACCCACCCACAAAAGCCTGATGGACTGAACTGAAACTTCCTTCAACATTTTTGATAGCCTAGAGACTGCTGTTACCAGCTTCTCCTCCTTGAGCCAAACATTTCACTCTGCCTTACAGCTGGGCCAGATGGGCACAACTGGCGAGCACCAAATTGGGGAAGGCTGTTCCATAGCTTATTCAGATTCAGTGAAGAGGCTGGAAGCAGAGAGAAAACAGCAGATATAAAGTCATCTCATTCAAAGGCTCTTTTAGAAACTTGAGATATGTTTGCGGAAAATAGACAGGAGGGAGGACAGATGTGGACGGAACAAAAGGGAAGTAAAGATTAAAAGATAAATTGATTTTGGGCTCTATAGGCAGCATCACATGATAGATAATGGGCCAAGAGCCATTTTTAAAAGTGGCTGACAGAAAGTTAAGATGAAAAGGAAGTACGGCATTCACCACGTCAGTGGCTTTTTCTCCCAGCTGTCAGCACATTAACACTGAAAAGAAGATTATGTGCAGCTCTTGTAAAATGCACGCTCCTTACAAATGGGTATTTATATCCATTTCCTCCCCAAGGTGAAAGGTTATCTGTGGTCATATTAGCAAACAGCTGCTTATGATTTGAGTTGCATGCTATGCTTGGAAAAGCAATGCCGTGTAATCCATGCCATATGAATCCCTGTATTTTTGATATTCCAGTATGCCAAATGTTCAAAGGAAGAATACACTTAGTGATAAAAAATAATAACAGTAACAACAAAAGCAGCTAACACAGCCTTCCTTTATTACTGATTAATCTGACAATATGAAAATACAACGCTCGGCATTTTGCAGAGAGCAAACAGGAGGCCAGCTCAGTACATTTCTATTGCTAATTACTCTTCATTTTAGGAACAAGATATGCTTATGCAGGAACAACAGTGAACTTAGGGTGAACTCTGGAGCAGGACATCTTGTGTATCTAATTAAGTGCATCCACATTTAAGAGTGACACTGTGGGGCTTATGAAGATTTTAATTTCAGAAAGCTGAAGGGAGCAGGAAAGAAATGATGAAGCAATATTTTGCATCTTGTTAACAGTTCCCCATTGCCCTCACACCAGCAACACACAGTGCTTGGGAGAGTATTTGGATCACAGGGCTATTGCAGATGGTCCAAGTCTCCAAAATCCTTAGCAAGCTCTCCGTTTTTTCACCTTCAGCCCTTGGACTGTAACAAATTGTGCTGAGTTTTTGCATATGCAGCTGGCTGGATTGTTTAGGTATCTGGCTGGAGAGCCAGAGGTTGGGAGTTTGATTTCCCCAGTGTGCGTCCCAGGAGAAGAGTCATATACCTGTGTAACCTTGGGCAAGCTGCATAGCCCCAGAGCTCCACCAGAAGAAGGGAAAGGTAAACCATTTATGACTACTAGAAAAACCCTGGGCATGATTGCTATAAATCAGAATTGACTTGAGGGCATATAATTAATTTTATTTTGTATATGCAGAGCACCTACATTTCCCTTGTGCGTTGGGTTCTACACTGAACTGTTCCCTCTCTATCAAAAAGAAAGAGAATATCATATGACAATCTACTGTACAGGTTATTTTCTCAAGGATTTTGAAAAGCTGTTTAAGCTGCTGTCTTACATTGCGCCCACCTAACTTCTCCACTATGGTGTGGGTGAGGCAAAGGACTGATTTATGCATCTCAGACAAGAAAAAAGCAAAATAAATAAATTGAAGCACCTAAAAAACTAAGTGTTGTATTTTAATGTGAGCTTTCATAGATCAAGTCCACTTCCACAGACATTACAGTGAGACTCCATGACTATAAAGCCTGTGAGCCCCTCCAGCCTATCCACAAGCACAGCCAGGGATTCTTATTAATAACTCCATTGGCTCCAGCTCAGCTTCTTGACTCCTATCAGCATTTATTAGAGTTACAGCAGCAGTTCCCTCTACTCCAGCTCAGCTTCTCGACTCCTATCAGTATTTGAGTTACAGCAGCAGTTCCCTCTGCCTTCCCCCTCCCCCATAGTTGGATAAGGTCAAGTTACAGTTTCTAAACTACAGTACTTGTCAGCTTCGGCAGCCAGTTAGTCTCAGTGAAATTCCCCCAGAATCCAGGTTCTGGAAAGCAGGATGGAGAGCTCAAGTCCAGGATGCACCCCTTCTAAAGAAGGCTTGTATAAATGAGCACAAGAACTCAGACTCTGCAGCTTATCTCTCCTGGTGCCTTCCCTCACTTGCCTTTCCAGAGCTGCACTGTCATCCAGGCTAACTTAGCATTATCCGAGTGCATGGCTGGAGTCTCCAGTGCTTGGCAAGCCAATAAACCTAGTGAGGGTAGACAATTTCTGGCATTCTCCCACACATCCTCTTCTTCCAAGATAGGAAGCAACCCCTTGTCTTTGCAGTTCTGCTCTTTCATTCTCCTTGACCCTGCCTCCTCCAGCTGTCTCTCATCAGGACACTGTCTCTCCTGCAGCTGCAAGGACTCCAGCTAGCCTGATCCTGAGGCAATTCACCCTCCTCTCAGCTACCTGTGGGCTGGAGGCAGACAGCTCACTAGAGGTGTGCACATACACCCCCTCACAAGGCCCTATAACCAGGTGAGGACACAGCTAATGGACAAAGTGACAATGGTTTTAATTGCATTTTAATTGTTTTGTCTTTTTATTGTAGTTTAAATGTTGTAAGCCACCCAGAGGCCTTTGGGTAGTGTGGGCGACATATAAGTTAAATAAATAAAATAAATAAATTAGTAAAGGAAAGTACTGTCAAACTGTGAATAACTTCAATTATTAGTTATTGCCTACATGGTAAAAAATAGCCAACACAAGTGGCAAATTGTGGTAATCAATGAATGACTTCATAGTTGGTAATATGCTAGAAATCCTTGACTGAAATGTCAGTGTGGGTCTCCAGCATCCTCTTTAGCTCATCTCAGCTGCTTCTCTTTCAAAGCTAATTCTCTAGCAGCTTTTTCTAAGACAGTTATTTTGGGTGAAGTCACAGATTGTCCAGGTAGATTGAAATGTCCTGAAATAGTTTTTTGTGTTGCCATTTCTGACATCCAATTTATGTTCATTAATTCCTTTGTGTAGAGGTTTTCCAGTTTGTTCTATATGCAGTGCAGAAGGGCACTGTTGGTAAAGGATGCACAGGTCACATTAGTAGAAGAACAAATAAAGATGTTCCTGATTCATGCATGAACA